TTTCTTTTTCTCTACTAACTAAATGATTCGATGTGCAACAACTGTACCACGAAATATGGGCTGTACTAACTTAGCTCTGATTATTAACATGGTGAGAACCATGAATGCAGGCGTAATCGATTGAATAGAATTATAATTCGGGGTTGAAGTTTCTTTTAGGTGCACGTTTTTTGGCAGAATCGATGCTACGTGAAGATCGTTTATATAAATTTATGTGATTTTCTTTCTCCCAATTCGATACAGGTTCTGACAATTTTTCATAGCTTGTGAAAGTGCCACCGAGACGCAAAGTGTCTTCATCTGCCATCTTGAAACTTCACCAAGTGTGCGCTACAGAAAAAAAAAATATTTGTACATGCTCAAAAGACGTTTTCGTACTCACGAAGCAAGCGGCGCCCTTCAAATAGATCGGCGTAAGCATAGCCTATGATTAATGCTTACGACTCGGCGTAAGCATAGACACTTCGTTTTTTTAAATTCAATTTTATAAGTGGGGGGGGGGGGGCCATTTTTTATTTAATGATTCAATTCTTGCTATAACAGTATTTAAATATTTGAAGATTGAAAAAAAAATATCATTTCTATTACTGAATGTTTTCATTAAGGCCATTTTTACCTACTTGTCATTTGGGGCCATTTTTACCGGGGCCATTTTTACCCGGGCCATATTTTCCTGGGCCATTTTTTCCTACATTCATTTATATTACCGGTATTTGTATTATCTTTGCTGTAGTTGATATATACTGAAACTGAAAGGTAGCAATTCAACAATGTTATACAGCCATATCGAAAATTGCGTAGTATGTCCTTTACGACTATGGTGACGTTGTTTTTTAAACACGCCTACTACTGTCCTTTTTAGATGATGACCAAGCGGTTTTCTGGATAAAAGTGAAACTTGGTGCAGAGTATAGCGTGACATCCGTAACGGCAATAAACCATGTTGGTGCAGGTAATGGCATACTACCTCCATGGGCATAGCCTACCTAGTAAGGGATAATATGAAGGAACTTAAATCAGAAGGTTCTAGAACACTTGCGTGTGGACCGATGAATTCATATCTGCTCTAGCACGACGGTCAGATGCAGATTTAATGGGGGTGGGGGCGGCTATTCAAAAGGCATAGGGCTAAGTTCATCATCTCCCACACCTTTTTAAAAAATAAAAATGCTTGAATAACGATGAACTGCGATTGATACTAGTAGAGCTTTTATTAAAATAACCTCATTCCCCACCCATTTTCTAGTACTATTGTCTAAACAATCTGTCAGGAAGTACAGACGTGCCTATTAGACTCCACCGGGCCCTCCCATTGCAGATAGCGAGGATTTTGAAAGGAGATGGGGAGCTGTTATATATGAGGTACGAGTACCGAGTGGGGGTAGGGTGTTCCCCATCCTACCCGGCTGGGGGACGCCAAGGACACTAGTGGGGTCCAGGGGAAACCCCCCTGGGAGGAGCTCATTGAACGTTTAAGGACTGTTTCGAGAGGATATAGTGAAAATTGCAATAGACTAATTGATATCCAGGACAACTAACTATATTAAGCTTTAACTACTGAAACAATTATGGTCAACAAATCACAAATTTATTTTTCGCCTTTAGCACAAGTTTTAATATTATTATTATTACCATCCATTATCATAATCACCATCGCCATCATCTTAATTTTTATTATTATTACTTCTATTAGTAGTAGTATTATTAAACAAATCTTTATAAACACTTGCAAAGGATAAAAACCAAACTGAACCATACAATATCACATTCCTGTATCTTAAAATATATATAAATGACCTGGGATTTATGCATTTAAGACGAATTTAAGTTTGATAAATCCGCCCCTTGAGCAGTGGCAGTTATAAACCCAAAACATTAATTTTTGCATTATCGTGTTGAAAAATTGATTAATCTACACATTTTCCACTGGTGACTTTTATTGTTATACGTTTATGGTGGGTTTCTATCACGGGTCACAAATCTATAGTAGAGAAGGAGATATTAGAAATTGTACAGCATTCAAATCAACACAAAAACTATATGTATAACATGTTGATGCATTTTAGAAGTAGGCCTATTCTTTTTGAATGATCCCAGGAAAGAATTTGTATTGGCTAGCAAGAAGAAGCTTTTAAAGTCTAACGGTTTGGGCTTACAAAGAGGAGGGGGAGCCACGGCTCCCACGGCTCTCCCTGGATACGTCCATGTTCCAGTGTCATGTTGAAATGGCATTAATTATTAATAATGTTTATGCCATTTTCTAACTTTTGTGGTACCGGCTGTCTTTTGTTTTATTTTTCACCTCTCTGCCACAAATCAATATTAATTTTGTGCTGAATTGATGTGTACCTCAAAGTTTCCCAGGGGTGGGATGCGTGTGAACACATTCAACAACAGTTGAATAAACAATGGTCACCCTTTTTGGGCATAGAGTTGTGTTGTTTAAAATTTAACGATTTTGTTTTATCAATACAGATACACTGAATGGAACGGTGGATGCTGAGATACGCATCGGTAATAACATAAATTATATGCGTACAGAAAGCATGTGTGGCAACCCAGTATCCCAAAGTGATGTGAGCAGTAGCGCTATCCTTGACTTCAAATGTGTGCCTGCACTAAAAGGCAAATATGTCATGATCTGGCTCCCAAGTGGAGAAAAAAAGTTACACATCTGTGAAATTCGTGTATACGGATATCTTGAAGCGGGTTAGTATTGCTTTAGGACCACAAGGGAAATAAGTTTGCCATTAAAGATCAGGAAGCCAAAAGCCCATTAATTTTTTGTTTGCAGCATATTCAAACTCTAGCTATCGACGCACTGCGAATAACAGAGATTAATATCTTTTCGGAGATTCCGTCTTGTCGTATGTATGTGCTGGTGTATCATTGAGCTCTATTATTCTCAGTGTGTCGAAAATCAACGTTGGTCCATGTATTTGCAAAAAAGTGTGCTTCTATTTCGAATTAGAATTCCCAACGAAGCCAGTGGCCCAGTTGGAAGGCGTATGCATAAACAGCTAAAAATCCCGGGTGCAATTCCCCGTTGAGGGAACATTTTTTACTCACAGATTCCTCTTTTATAACACGTTGAATAGTTTAGGCTTCCTGCTTCCATCATTATAACTATTATTTATTTGCCTTGCAATACTTTATATAGGCCCACATTTATTTAATTTACAATATTGCTTAGTACAATTTTAATTAATTTATTTCATAGCCATTTCCTGTCCTTCTTGGTTTTAGATTTAGTTATGTCTTATCAGGCCCGTAGCCAGGTCATTTCAAGGGGGGGTTCTCTGAGCGTGGTGTCCAGAGGTGGCACCAGGAGGTCCCCGGCGGTGGGGGGGAGGGTGCCCCGACGAGGGGCCAGATTTCCCCAACGAAAACAAAGTGGGCGTGGTCGAGTTTCAATTAATAGGTTCCAAAAGTGGTCCTGGAGGTGAAGCCCCCGAAAATTTTGACAATTCAGGGGTTTCAAATCGATATTAGAGTCTACTAATATGTAATACATCTAATTTTGTTTTCTCCCTGACGAATTGTGCTTTTTCTCCCCGACGGGGAGGGGGCAGCTCTCCCCGACGTGGGCCCTGCCCCCCCCCCCCTGCCGCCACCCTGGTGGGATTCAGGTGCCTGGGGCCACGGTGGGGTCCCAGAGCAGTTTTTGTGTTTAATGGGTCTATAATAATGTTATAAAAGCATTGGCCTATGATTTGAAAAAGATCTATGTAATGAAAAGGTGGTAATATAATAAAATTAGAAAATATTTTCTGAGAATTGGCATGTTTAAATCACACCGAAAGATATAAAAAAAAAAAGCTCATCGCATAATATCAATATATATCAATATACTCAACACGTTTATTATTATAAAACAAAAACAAAAAGCTATTCTTCTTTTTCCTCCTCTTCTTCTTCTACTACTTCTTCTTGACTCTCATAATAATAGTACTATTTTACTACATGGCTAAAAAAAGCACAAATACTGTCATTACTACTGATAAGGCCATCGTTAAATTAAGTCAGAGCCCAAAATATAGCATAATTCGAAATTATTATTTTAAGACTTTATAACATAATACATAGCTTACTGATTAATAATAGCTGAGATGCACATTTTAGAATTAATAATCGTTTTTAGTATATCTTACTGAATATTTATTGTCTACAAAATGAAATGTGAATTATAATTCTATCTTTCATAAAAAAAAAAAAAAAAACTAAATTCAGCGCGTCTATTTTCATTCTAATCAATGGCGTTTGTAAACGTGCACGGACGTCATCGTCGAATCCCATGACTTCCGACGGTAAAGCTGGCCTGCCTGCCTAGGTCCGTCCCAGGCCAACCAATAATAATATACAAAATGTATTTTTTAAATATAGGCCTATGGCACATCCTATACATGCACTTTTACAACAAAAGCCTAGGCCTAGTAGGCCTACCTGTAGTACGTTCTACTGTACTTAGGCCTAGGCCTACACTAGTTTGTTGTCGTCGTGGTATAATTCTGTATCTAAATGAACGAATGAACCTAGCTAGTCAACATCTAGGCTAGGCTAATTGATTTTAAAATCAATAACCCACCAGGACTATCTGCCGTTTTTTTCTTTGCAACAGCGGACGAAAAAAAGTCAGTTATTCTACAACGTTTCATGATTCTTTACCACTAAAAATTAACAAACACTCGTTTTGACGCACTCGGTTCTGTAGTGTGTCTGCTGTTGAAAACAAACTTCCTAGCCTAATTTTGTGACTGGCTATGATGACGGAGGTGGATTATGTTGATTTATTAATAATATTTTGTTTGGGATGAAAAAAGGGAGAGTCCATTTCCCCAAAATGCTCCATCAGCACATAGTTTAGTGTGCGCTATGGACAGTATGGCTATGGAATTTACTAACCACACAATCCACAAT